GTATTCCTAATAGTATTCCTGGGTACATCTGGATCATTGAGTCAGGAAAGAACAGTACAATCTGATTTATGAAATCTATTAACTGGTTCATGGAAAAGTGATTTATTTTATGAATTGGACTGAGCTGGTTCTCAAGTTCAGCTCTTTGACTCAGTGGATCAGGTAGCAGCTGCTAACAACTGATTAGCCTGAATGAATATCAGTAAACGTTAAACATTAAGACATAATGGAAAGTAGCAGGTTAAACATAAAAACATTAAGGCACATCTAATTTTTGCCATCTACATTTTGAGACAACAAAGGCTGCTATTTCATTACTTTCAACCTCAATGTTTTTAAGTTTAACAGAAAAGTGTTTGTTTTCCATCAGTAAGAAAACTGCAGTTTGTTTCTTAAGAGTTGTTCTCTTTTTTTTGTGAATTTTCAGTAAATATCAGTAAACGAAGAATTAAATGTCAATGTGTTTGTCATATAAAACTGTCATATTGTTTCAGAAGACTTGAAAATATAGTATTATTTCTAGCTTGATAGATATGGTCACTATGAACTGTTGATACTCTTTGAAAGTTCTCTTTCTCAGTTCTACAGAAAAACCAAATCACAGCAAATGGTTTTGGACCGAGATTAGGGTAAATAAATAGTGACAAATTAGACATTTTTAGCAAAACTATTCAGAATTACTATTGTTTGAAACAAAATATTGATAAAATCACATTACACCATTTTCAAAGGAAGAATGAGAGTCATGTGATGTATTATTCTTAAAGTTTGCAGCTAATCTTATCAAATCAAATAATTATGTTTTGTTTGTAGCCTTACAGCGACTCTCGCTAGCGTAGGAGCTGCCAGTATTCCCAGTGCTGGTCTGGTGACGATGCTTCTGATCTTGACAGCTGTGGGACTACCGACTCAAGACATCAGTTTACTGGTAGCAGTTGACTGGCTACTGTAAGTTAAACCAATCTCTCTCTCTCTCTGCTCTTTTAGTGGTACAAAAATTCTCATGAAATACTTGTCAGTCAAGGATTCAATAAATAGGGCTATATTATATGATTGAGATATGATATCCACTTTAAATATAAATGATCTCCACTTTAAAATTTGTTGTCAAAGTAAATCTCATGGCATGTTTATCCATTTGCTTTGCGTGTTAGAACAAACCCTTATGGCATTTAGAGTCGTTTAGCCTTGAGAGATGTGGCACCTTTCTTTGTTTCTTTCTGCTTTATCAAACAGGGACCGTTTCCGAACGTCAGTCAATGTCGTTGGTGACTCGTACGGGGCTGGAATCGTGTACCACCTCTCCAAAGATGAGCTTGACATGTTTGATGCACAGCAGATAAGACCAGATGACTTTGAGATGGCCAAGACACAATCCTTTTTTGAGAATAACACTAACCACGGTGTATATGCATCTCACAACTCGTATCAGCCGGTCCAAATAGATGACTGCAAGGTACATTTTACTCTCACAGACATAGAAACCTGTATGTAGATGCCTTTATTTCTTTCCCCGACATTGTATGTACCATTGTGATTTTTTTTATTTTACACTTTTTGTATTTTTTGGTCATTCCTGATGTGAATGCATAAGACGTTAAACAGAATGAAGGAATAAATAAATATGGTTTATTTATTTGTTCTGGTGCTTGGTGAAATAGCAGTTTTTGTACAGACTTTGTATATCCATATCAGTATCTGGACATCATCAATTTGGCAATTATACATATGTGCACAGTAAATCCTTCAAATGTTTGTATAGTACTAATGCCAAGATGCCTTTGGCTGCTCTCGAATGAAAAAAATGAAAGTGAAACAAAGCAGTGCATTAAGGCACACCTCATTTTTGCCATCTACATTTTGAGACGACAAAGGCTGCTATTTCATTTCTTTCAAGCTCAGTGTTTTTAAGCTTGACATAAAAGTGTTTGTTTTCCATCAGTAAGAGAACTGCAGTGTTTTCTTTCTTTTGTGCAAGTTTTATGCCTCTTTTTTAGTTTTATGCACTCTGTTTCACAAATGCATAGGTCTGTGTGGTAGCACGCGAGGCACTTTTTCCACAACCCCTTTAGAAGATTAGCTTTGGGCAGAGATTCACTGTAATTAGTAAAAAAAATAAAAATACAAAGCTTGTATTTACAAAATATAACAATTCAAATTATTTTCTCTATCTGTATTCAGTCTTTCAGCATTCTGTAAGGAATCCCGCTGCAGCTAATTATTATCTGTCTTGTGGTGGGTACATTTCTGTGAATTTGGATATAAATTGTGCTGTTAAAATATCAAACTACCTGGATTCTCTGCTCCAAACCATAAACAGTTTAGTTAGCAGCGGTTAATGCATTCTGACTGTGCCTTGGTCAAACAGTTAGTTGTCCCTGATAATTGCTTTCAGGTAACCTTGACCTCAAATGGCTCCCCTGCGAACTTCTCACTTGTTGAGGAGGAACCATGGATACGCGAGTAACACAGCACACAGATCCAGCTCCGCCTTATCCTGAGTCCCACAAGCTTATCCTTTCTGGTGAAAACCAAATGCTACTTTTGTACATATAAACAGTCAGAAGTTGCCACAGAACTTTCATATGCACAAGCAATGACTTTTGTATGACAATCTCAGTACTTTTGATACACAAAGGGAAGAGAACGTAGCTCGAAGTAGCGGGTGGTTCAGTCAGGCTGCATATTATTTACACTCAAGGATTACGATAGTTAGAATTCTAGGCCTTGGGTTTGAGGATCAGTCTGAAACCTGCTGCCTTAAAGGCAGGGTATGTGATTTTTCAAAAACACTTTAGAAAACTACCGCATAGAAGGATCGCAGTGGTTTGTCCAGCCCCAGATTGACCCTAGAGCACTACTAGTGGCAGGAGGAGAACAGTGCAGCTTGTTTGCTGAAGATACCTTTGACTGGCTTGGCTTAGGTGGATTAACTCTTGGTGGCAGTACTCCAGATCAGCCTCTTATAAGAGCTTACCAATGTACTTAGAGGTTCTGAAATAGTGGTTTGCCTCCAAATGCTACCACTTATTTTTAGACGCTGCCCGACGTAAATGCCACATCAGCAATTACAGAGCGATCAGACATGAAGTATGACATTGAGTCGCTTGACGTTATCTGCAAGGACTGTTGGGACTGTTAATATCCTGCGTAGTGGACTGAATAGTTTGCATTCAAACATTAATAAGTCTCCAAGCGTGGTTATGTTTGAGGAAAGGGACTTGCATGTGTGTAGGTTTTGTATGTATCTGTGTGCTTTAAGTTGTCAATTTATTTATGTATTTATTTGCTATGTTACAATCTTACCTTGAAGATATCAACTGCAAATTGCAGACAGAAGACTTTATGACATTAATATTAAATGCAATCCCATTTTCTTGGATCTTAGACCACTAATAGTGTTTGATTCTCTGAGGAGCCTTCTTGGATACTCAGACATTAAGTCCAGTTGAATGGATTCTATATTCACGCTGATAAGAGAGGCCCTCAGGTTATTTGGTGCTCAGGTTGTTAGCATGTAACAGAAAAGAGATGACAGAATTAAGATCTATCATTACATCTACACCATTTATTTGGTAGTCTGTAATAGCAACACAATCAGCATTCCTCTTTTGAACCAGAATCTTAAAATGTTCTCATTAAAGTGCCTCCTTGCACTTTCTGTACATATATATATAAATACACATATGTATGCTGTCATATTTTAGATGTATTTTTCATGCAAATTAAAGTGTAGTATTTATTAACTTTTTGCCTATCGTTTTATAAAACAACGGCAATTCATGTATTCAATTCAGTATTTTACTAAGTAGATTAGAGCGTAACAGGTTGTCTTAAGTAGTTATTGCTATCATATACTGTACAAGTCACATGGAACAGGTGGCTGTGAAACATTGACTGATGAGTAAAAATGTATGTATATGAATGTAAGCATATTTTTCACTGTTACAATTCATGATGATATTGTGTCTCAAATATTGTGTATTGTTAAACATTTTGGTAGGAATAATGACACTAGGGGAAAAAGTCAAATTGCTAATCATTATAAACCAGGCTTGCTACAGATTTAACAGCCTTGTAGAGTGCAGAGATCTTGAGTATGTATCTTGAGGAAATGATACACAACCTAGATACAGTATCTATAATGTAAAAGTGTGCACTGTTGTAATATCTGTTCAGGCAGGGCCTGACACATCTTTAGAGGTACAGTGATGTATGTTAACAAATATTGTATGACCATCCTGCTCTTTTTATTTGTGCAGCCCTGCTTTGTTCCAAAGACATTGTATTACTTGTCAACCAGACTTGATTTTGCATCCACTTTTTAAATTTGTCTTTTTCCTCTATTTTTCTATGAAACACCTGTAACAAATTGTAAATAAAGGCAATTCTTCTTGTCTCAGTGGTCTTTCTTTCTTTCTTTCTTTCTTTTTCCAAGTCTTTAGGAAGTAATGCTAAATAAATGAAAAAATAAAATATGTAGTAATCACATTAAATTGTATTTATCATATGATTTTACATCTCACTCATGCATTTTACATCCAGCTACTCTAATTGAACAAATAAAAAAAAATAAAAAATAAATAATTTTATATATATTATAAATAATAATAATAAAAAATCCAATACCTTGTTAAAATGTCATGTTTTATTGAAAGACTCATCCAACATAAATGTGCTCTAAGAGCTGACAAAAAATACATCTCTATGGGTAATTTAATAAATGGAAAGATTTACATTTGCTTCATTGCATTACAAACTGCATAGGGTTTCTCTATTCAAATTAAAACTTTATATTAAAAAATGCATTATATCCCACACAGTACATAGTACTTACAAACCAGTATAAAAATGTTTTCTCACCATATCATTATTAACCATCAGTCATTAAGAGATAATAATCATTTTCTATTATTGGAGAAAAAAATAATAATTTACATTAGAAAAGAAATGTGAAACACAAGAATCTTTTTTTTTTTTTAATTCTGAAGCAACAAAAATGGAAGCCAAAATGGAAGCGACTCTGAGCAGAAAAAAACCATCACTAGTGCAAATAAAAAGTACAGAAGAGTTCAAACCTGTTAATACACAGTATGCAGGATTTAAAAAATTACATTAAATACTCTTTCTCATGCTCATCCAGACAGGTAGCAGTAATGTCATCCGTTTTACCATTCAGCTTCGCAACACTCTTCAGTGCCACTACCTCCTGCTCTTTCTCTGACAGTGGCAGTGTTTCTGTTTTACTGTAGTCTTTGTTGTGCACTTCAGTTGAGATGTTTCTGCTCTGTCTCGGTCCGTACCACCTAGGTAAAGAGTTACATTCAGTAAACTGAAGCTGGACCCCAATGGCTGATGAATGCGATGGATTCACTCGATGAAAAAAAAATAAAAATTTAAAAAAATAACAAGCAAACTTACTTGTCTCTTGTAGCAATCGCAGCAAGCATGCATACTATGGCTCCAACAACAACACAGAATGCAAAGATTATCAGCCAAGCTGTAGAAGGGAGAAAATTGTAAATTGACAGATTTACATTATGTCAGTTGAATGAAAAGTCAAGAAACTGATGGCATCTGCAGTGCTGTCACAAGAACTTACTAGATGGTCCATCATCCTTTTGAATAGGTGATGGAGGTAAATTGGATTCTTCGCTATTCGATATGTCTGCAAAAGATACATTTGTAATTAGACTTGATGACTTAACATACTGTATTATGCATTAACATAAAAATTTTTATTAACAGATTAAACAAATACTTTATGTACCACATGATGATATTCAGTGTTGGGGAGTAACTTGTTACATGTAACAGAGTTATGTAATTTAATTACAAAATAAATGTAATTGTGATTAGTTACAGTTATACTGGGGAAAAATGTGTAATTAAATTAAGGTTACTTATGAAAATGTTAACGATTACAAAGGGGGTTACATCTGGATTTTTTCACACACACAACCACATACCGATTTAATTCACTTCTTTCATAAATTGCATCGAGTGCTCTAAAATATGAGACACCAATGTTTCAGGAGTTTAGGACACAGAATAGGAAACATGCTTATTCGATAACTGTTTTATTTCCTATTTGGGTTTATGTATATGCTTTATTTTTTAAGATTAACTGTTGACTGTTTTTCCGAGGCATTGTTAGATGCCTGTGTTTTCTGTCAAAACTATGCAAATATTTGATTTCAAAACCAGTATCATAACTATTTCTTGTTATTGCTCTGTATTTATTCTCAAAGTAAAAAAAGAGGTGCTAAAGCCTGATTTTGTGGTGGCTGTGCTTTAAATTAAACTATTACACGGCTCTGTGAAATGCTTGATTCTGATTGGTCAGTCATGACATTTCAAGTTATGTTATTCCCCGATAATAACCGGTAAAAACTAATAGCAGAGGCTCATCCGGGTAACTTAAGTCAGCGCTATATGCTTACTAGCACCAGTTTTTCTTGGTGGAAGTTTTGCGTTTGGTTAACTAATAAAATATTAAAACTCAATTCAGTATTTTGTATACAATTATTTAATATTGTCATCCTGGTATCGCCGACTCGCTCTCTCGTTTCATACAACCACAGCTGCTGCCATTTTGCAATGATTGTTTTGTACACTGTAATGGATTATAAGATAACTAACAAACTGGTAAGATTTTAAAACAGTTTCAACTTAAATATATATTTGGATGGATTGCATGGATTTCACGAGGGCCAGATGTGGGCCGGATCTGGGCCAACACTATGTTGCTGTCTGGGATCTTTTATCGCCTTAATTATTTATGTGGTGAAATGTTGTGTAATAAGTGGTATGACTGCACCGTATCCCTTAAATGTCCGTCTAGTTTGAACTTGCCATTTTCTAGCGACTGCTTTCTTCATGGAAGCTTTGCATTCAAATAGTTCAACTCTATCTCAACTAATCTGTGACCTATTACATTTCCAATGCAACCTTCCCATCACTGATGATATTAAACATTAATATTAATTAAAACATAGCTTATTTGTGTAACTATCATCAACTATCCTATGGAAGCAAGTTTTTGGCTTAGACTAAAAAAGGTAATTTTAAGATTAAGTTGAAGTATAGTCATATTGTGACATACGAAGTCAAACTGTGAAATATAAAGTCAGATTTATGAGAAACATCATTGTGTGATAGGAAGTTGGAATTTTTTTTTTTTTTTTTGAAGTGGAAGGCTTCCATAGAAACCAGGCACATGTCTTCTACACAGTTGCCTCACTGACACTATGTTGGCCTTTATGATCCACAGCCAACCCCAACAATATCCAGTATATAAGGGTCAGGATTTGTAAGGATATTTACCTACAGAACTGGCATCCAACTTTCGGCCTTTTGCATCATTTATTTTCTCCTTATTGTTGTTTTGTATGGATGTACCCTCAGCTGCCTCTGACGTAATTGCCGTCATTGTGAATTGACTAGGCTTAGGAACTTCAAAAACTGTCTCACTCATTCCTGATCCACTGCCCTCTGTATCAGGGAACAAAATACTGGAGGTAACAGAGGATGTGCTCTTCCTAAAATGGGGCTTGCTTGTAGGGCCTTTGCTGTCTTCACTGTGTGTCGTTGTAGAGTGTTCCTCCAAGGCAGGCACAGATGAGGGTTTCAGAAAAGAAGTTTCTCTTTTTACTCTTCCCATGATCTCTTCCAAATCTACTAGAAAGCCTTCAGTTTCGACCTCCGTAAGGATGTCTTCATCTGTTTTTTCATCTTTGTGAGAAAACAGATAAAGGATTACTGCCAAAAAGCTTAAATATGTTAATGATACATCAGTGTTTTGCATTTCTGTGCTGATACCAAAGCAAAATAAAAGAGTGGAATGTCGAGTTTAAACCACGCAGATACTTTGCTATGTTGGTACAGAGTGAATGGTTAAACGAGAAACAATAATGAACAAGAAATCACTTCCTGAGTATTCAAATACAATCAGCAACTCTTTTGTTCGTCCTTCGTTGTGGTACTGCAGGTGCGTAAAAATGCGTGAGGTCACAGAGATATGACTAATGCTTTGGAATAGGTGTGGTTGGATAATGAACAATGAAGTGTATGTCTGCTGCATGTCTTGCTTCTTCACAATACACACCCCTCAACTCAAAAGGTAAAGTTAATGCACCAATAGTCTAAGCCATTTAAGACAAAAAGTCTGCAATGATATCAAAATCTAATTCTAGGTACTGCAGGGAACAATAGGAACTTACTTGCTGTGGCTGTGTTTCCATTGGTTAAGCCCTCAGAGTTAGATTTACCATTATCATCACAGTTCAGTGATGCATCTTTGTAGGAGGGAAATAAAAAGTCAATAAGACAAAACCTGTTTGGAGCATGTTTGTTTTTATAGTGTTTGCCAGTAAGATACCCCAGTTTCTTTATACTCTCACCTGATGGGTTAAAGCAGTAGACATCAGAAAGATAATCTGCTGCTTCGGGACGGAAGGTGATCTCGGTGGAACTGGAGTCACAATTTGGACCATTAACGTGTGGGAGGAACATAACATTTTGTCCATCTATCCAGCCGTATCTAAACAAAGGTGTGGGATTAATTAAAAAAATTAAGTACTGCCATTAGGTAATATCAAAAGAAGTGCATTTATGTCTGAACATGTTATTTAGCTCTAGGCTAAGTCTATTGTAATCAGCTTGCTTTCTTTACCTGCATGTTCTCAAGCCTTTTTTATAAGCCTCATTGACCTGTTCCTGTGTTGCGAGTTTGTAACCTAAACTCTGACACAATTCCAAAGCCTGTTGGAAAGTTAGAGAGTAACGGCTGGTTCCCTCAACAAGGAAAACACCGGCAAAGCTGCATCTGCCACTAGAACCTGTCAAAAGAGAAACTAATGTGAATATTCAAAGTCAGAAATCTTAATTAATTTATTAATTGTTTCCCGTGTACAATCACACTAATGATTAGTTTGTAAATGAGGGCCAGATGTGTGTGTGACGGATGAGCAATTTAGCATTAGGTATCATTAGATAAATCTCTTAATGATTCATTGCATGTGCAGACGTGATCACATCTGTAACACATCTAGGCCATCTGTAATCCACTGACTTCGTAAATGACCTCTCGTTTTTTGTCTCAAAATAACACGTTTAGACCAGCATACGGTTTTAAGGACATCAATTAGTGGAACAAGTGATAAATAGTGCGCAGAAGAGGGAATAAGTGAGTTTAATGGGAATAGAAATTCCAAATACATTACTAAAGAAGCAAAATGATGCTTAAAGCAAGAAAAATATTCAATAATCAATTAGTTTTAATTAATATCTTGCGTCATTGTATCATGCTTTACGAAATATTAGATATTTGTACTGGAAAACAAGACAAAAAATACTGATTAAGAAAATAATTTTTGCACTGAAGTTAAAGTCTGAGATAGGAGGCATAGGAGAATAAATAACTCTTGAGAGAGAGAAAAAATGATATGTACAATAAATTTAACAATCCATGGGCTGTATTACAGAAAGATCATTACTCTGGCATGCTATCTTATCTGTAGCCATACTGATATCAGTTAAAACCTGTCAGATCTTAATTTTGTTCATAAAGATATAAAGTTTATGTAATACAGCCTCAGGCCTTTATCTTAAACCATAACATATGAAATTTATCTACAAAGGTCATCATCAATGCACTAAAAGTAAACGAGAAAAGCCTGCAAAAAACTTTATTCACATTCAGCTGATCCCACTTTTGCTGTCATCTAAGAGCCACGTAAAGTTAATCTTTAATAAGACGAATAATTTAATAGCACTGTTAAATGCAATTTTTAGCAAATCTCAATTTAAATATACATTTTCATAATGTACTTTACAATGACGTGATGCGTAAATTCACTTGTAGCATTTACACTGATTACTAGTGGAAACGTGCGGGAACTTTTTTCTTTTCTTCTATGGTTGACGTCTTTAAAGTCTCCCAGATAACAGCAGAAGTCAGATTAATGATGGGGTTTAACCATAGCCTTTGTTGTGAAAAGCAAAAAGGGTTACAGTCTCACTACTACTGTCATATCAGTATCGCAAATATGACCTCATCTCGCAATTGTAAATGCGTCTTGACCAAGACTAAGTATGTGAGCCTCCCGCCACCAAAGACACCTCTGAGATAAATAAGTAACACATTCCCCATCACTCACCCTGAACCGGGGCTGCCTGAAGTAGAGCTGGTGATCCAGTAGCAAATACTACAAGTAACAAAGTCCACATGTTCAGTGCTGTGTCATGTGCTAGACAAAGGGAAGTGCTGTATACCTGTTTGTTGGCCCTTAACCGGTATGGTTCTTACAATGCTTTGATTCTCTTCCAGTCTTTGTAATTTTCTGAACCCTCTAGAGATGTACCTTGCCTCTTTTATATGCTCAGACTAAAGTACTTGGTGACACACGCTGAGCAATGATGGGTGGTGCTATGAAGAACACACCCTTGTCACTGTCTCCCACACTTCCTCTCTATCTGCGTCTGTGCAGCCAGCATTAACATGCCAGACACCTTTGCATAATCCACTTCAGAGAAAACCACAGTTCTGGTGAATCTCAAGGAGTTACAGAGATCAGTTTGTTTATGTGTGCTGCAATTTTAGTATTGCTGTAAGTACATGTGTAGTAATGTTGTATTGTACTTGTTAGTGAACTATTTGCACTGATCTAAATAAAATTATTCATGTGTTCACTTACAGAACATTGTATAAAATACTGGACCAACATTTTATTAAGTGCTTTTAACTACTATGTACTAAGTAATAAATTAATAATTGATGCAATTAACTTACTGTGTATAATATGTTTTATGTTTATTTGTATTCATATTTAGTAAGATATATACTGTATATGGGTCATTCTATAATTTAAGGTACATTTCATGTCATTGATGGAATTATGTGTATTTTTAACAATTTCCTTCAGAAATGTATTTTAATAATTAAGAGAATACTACACAAATTTTATGCACTCGGTACTTCAATTGGCTTGAAATGTCTTTATGTCTCTTAAATTACAGTTTTTGCACTGGCCGCTTGTTTAATTGAGTCTTGAGTTCAAAATAATGAATAAAAAATGTTAAGGTCAAGATTATCTAGATTAAGTTTCAAGTTTATTTCTACAATCAAAAATAGACAGAGTTTAAATTGAAATTTGTTAACCAAATATCCACCTACAAACTAAAACATGGTTTATCATAAAACTGTGACCAGTGTCATGTGATGGAATTTTCTTCTGTGGCGGACATTAATGAACACATTATACTTATTTTCAAGGAGTATATTAATATCCTGATTTCATGTCATTGATGGAATTATGTGTATTTTTAACAATTTCCTTCAGAAATGTATTTTAATAATTAAGAGAATACTACACAAATTTTATGCACTCGGTTCTTCAATTGGCTTGAAATGTCTTTGTCTCTTAAATTACAGTTTTTGCACTGGCCGCTTGTTTAATTGAGTCTTGAGTTCAAAATAATGAATAAAAAATGTCAAGGTCAAGATTATCTAGATTAAGTTTCAAGTTTATTTCTACAATCAAAAATAGACAGAGTTTAAATTGAAATTTGTTAACCAAATATCCACCTACAAACTAAAACATGGTTTATCATAAAACTGTGACCAGTGTCATGTGATGGAATTTTCTTCTGTGGCGGACATTAATGAACACATTATACTTATTTTCAAGGAGTATATTAATATCCTGTGAACTATGTTGGGTACATTATTATAGTTTGCAATTTCCTTATGATTTTAATTCAAATAAATAGGTTAACCTGCTCAAGAAAATAATGTTTGGTTGGCTAGACAAGGCCTTCCACTGAAATTAGTCAAAATGGTGAAATTGTCAACTATGTTACCGGTCACTTCATACAGCTTGTCCAGAAAATAGTTGACAAACTCTTTTTTTTTTATTCCCCCTGTAATATCAAAATAGCATTTAATGATTAGGCTTGGCAACTATAAGACAAGTTATACTGATAAAATGTATAAACTGAAACCAATAGTTGTCTATTGAGAAAGCATATTGTTTTTGCAATTTTTTCCTGATGTGAAATGTACCCTGATTATATAAATACAACTGCATGTAATTGCATGTACCCCTTAACCCAGCTTTAAACCTAACTACACCATGAAACCTGTCCCTATCCTTACCTGTATCCCATCTCAATAGCAGCAAAAGTGTTTTGTAATACAATACAAATAGGCTACATACTAAAGACACTTAATATTAAGCAGAAACAAAATACTATATAATATATGTTTATGTTTTGATAAATGTATAGTATTGCTCTTCTCAAGATGAAAAAGGTGAGCAGTGGGAGTAAAAAGCCTAGTTAGCGGTGAGGAGGGTGGCCTCATATATTATGGTGAGTCAGTGCGAACATTGCTGTGGTGTGGCTGACTCAGGTGTGTGAAAAAAGGCCTCGCCCTCATGTGTGCTGATACACGTTCACTTCCTGATTCAAGAGCGGGAAGAAAGTGAAGGTGGCTGGTAGGAAGTTATCACTTTTTTTTCTCATGTTGGATCTTGTGGATATTAAATGGAACTCAAGAATAACTTGTTTTAGCATTTTACCGATGAAGCTTATCAGAAGTAGCATGAGTCTCTTGAATCAATTCAGTCTATGACATTGGAACATATTGAGAAAGGGGGAAATGTATTTTTTGTCATTCCAGGATATTAAGGATATTTGTTTTTCTGGAGCTCTCATTACATTATATGTTAATGAAAGACCAGGAGCTGCATAATTTTGCAAATAGCCAATATCAAAAATGTGCTTGTGTGGCAGAATAGGATCAATAAAGTCCCATTCTTGGGCTCAGTGTTAAGGCACTGTCTACAAGTGATCAGGATATAGTTTGTGCTGCCATGTATTTACAAAAACACACTAATTTCCCTACTATATTTCTAAACACACAAAGTTCACAAAATGGGTTTCATAACAAAAGTGGAACTAAGATCATATGTGACCCTGGAGCATAAAACCAGTCTTAAGTCGCTGGGGTATATTTGTAGCAATAGCCAAAAATACATTGTATGGGTCAAAAGTATTGATTTTTCTTTTATGCCAAAAATCATTAGGATATTAAGTAAAGATCATGTTCCATGAAAATATTTTGTAAATGTCCTACTGTAAATATATAAAAACGTAATTTTTGATTAGTAATATGCATTGCTAAGACCTTCATTTGGACAACTTTATTTCAATATTTAGATTTTTTTTTTGCACCCTCAGATTCCAGATTTTCAAATAGTTGTATCTCGGCCAAATATTGTCCTATCCTAACAAACCATACATCAATGGAACGCTTATTTATTCATTTATTTATGTATAAATCTCAATTTCGAAAAATTTACCCTTATGACTGGTTTTGTGGTCCAGGGTCACATATAAACAATTCACATATATATAATAATCCGACAACCTGTTTCATTGAAATGTTATGTGATGTTACACAGAAATTACAGCACTACAGTATACCCAGAAAGTAATCCATCAATTATAGCATCTATGTAAGAAATCCATGTTGTAACTGTATTACACTGTAATATTGTTTTCAACTGTAACACACATTTTTCATGCATTCAGCTGCACTAAAACAATGCATCAGGCTAGATACATAAGATGGTTTTACTGGATACAGCAAAGTGCAGAAGTGCAAGGTGTATCATTGTGTGACATCACAATGATATCACACTGTGATACTGGAATACTAGTGATTGTCCAATAAAGCAATTGTGTTAATCCCTACAAGGACAGTAAAGGCTAAAATTCTTGACACTGTGAGGACATAAATCATGTTTTTTTTAATGTATAAACACAAAAGGTGTTCTGTAAGGTCCAGGAATTTCTCACATAATGATATTGTATATAATATCCTGGAAATTGAGCAAGAGCGAGAGAAGCCCTGTTTCCAGGGAATTAGTGATGCTGTAACAAATGTCCGCAGAACGGCAAGTTTAAGAACCCATGTGCTGTTTATTTAATACAATGTGAACAAATACAAAACAAAGACTTGACTCAAACATGAGCAGAACTGACCATGAGCAAGAACAGACTTAACCAAAAACACTCACCGACAGTGGGGTTGCATACATCTAATACACAGCAAACTAATGTAGCAACCAAGAGGGTTTAGATACAAAACTATGGGAAACACATGGTAGAAAGCAAACAATGATGAGACATAACTAATGAACAGAAACCAAAAAACAAACAGAACAGAAAACCACATGACAGGACTATGAACCAATGATAACATGACACATATAGCAAAGGAACAACATGACATAATCACAAGATGGGGTAAGGGAGTCACATGACCTCACATGACCAACAACACACCCGACAATCCCCCCCCCCCTAAGGGCGGCTCATGACAACCAGATCAGATACCCACCCACAACTCAAAATATACCAAAAAGTCCAGAAGGGTGGTGGAGTGGAGGCAGACAAGGGGGAGGGATGGAGGGCCAGGCCCATGAAGCTAAACAGGGCCTGGATCATGGCTTGGGCCGTGGAGCAATGGTGGGCCTGGACCGAGGAGCAACCATGAAGAATCAGGGAAAGAGGGTAGAGCCAGAGAACAGGGGTGGAGCAGACGGAGCCTAAGACCACCAGGGCAGAGCAGGTGGAGCAGAAGACCACCACAGCAAAACCGATGGCCACCACAGAGGATCAGGTGGAACTGACAAAGAGAACACAGATAGGTTAGTAATGGTTTCTGTTGCCATAACAGAACAGACAGGAAGTTCAAGAATGGCCTCTTTGACAAGACAGGCAAGGGGTTCAGGGACAACCTCCTTGGCCATAACCAGACAGGATGAGAGATCAGAGATGGCCTCTTTGGCCATGACATGACTGGCAGAGGATTCACATGTGACCACTGTGGTCAAAACAGGACAGGCAGGAAGATCAAGAATGACTTCTGTGGTCGAGACAGGACAGGGAGGGAACTCACAGGCTGGCGCCAACACAGGACTGAGCTCTGGAGCTTGAGCAGGCTCTGGACACATGGACTGGAGAGCAGTGTGCAGCCTATACATACAAGATGGCAGCTGCCATCACAGGAAGCGCAGGCAACAGTAGCAGGAACTCAGGGACTCCCAGACTTGGACTTGGGACCCCTGGGGCGAATTCCAAACGGCTTTTATGCGCCCTTGAAGGGCACTTCAGGAAGGGGATGGCATTTGTAGGGACGTTCCCAACGAAAGTGAACAACTGAATCCCTTCGCGAAGGGCCCTTCCAGAAGTCCGTTAGTGAAGGGAACATGCGATGGTCACTTCACGGAAGTGATTTACGTTTGTGATCACGTGATCTTCAATTAGGAGATCTTGCGACGCATTTTAAAGCAAAGTTGTGGTTGATTTCGACACAAACGTAAGTAGA